TGGCCAAAAAGACCTCTTGCGATTCCGTGAGGTATGGTGAGCCCGCTATGAGGAAGATACCCAGACTGCCATGATAATGGTAACTCTTGCCCACAGTGCAGGATGAGCTCGTAGCAGTAAGGTAGAGACACACAGCGCGCATGCTCGCACATTGATAATATAGTGAATATCAACACTAGGCCCTTTCTGTCAAATGGTCCTACGAAATGATCTGGGTGATTTTCGGACTGCGGAATCCGCGGTCTCTGCGCCTTGGTAGCCATTTTTGCTCGTTCCATTTCCCACCATCCACGCTCAGCCCCAGACAAGGCGATACACTCTTATCAAACTACCACTCAACAACTCTATACTCCTCGTACAATTAATCTACCCATTGGACTTCACAGTCGCGCCGAAGTCCTTCCGCGTAATCCAAGCCATCTGATTGGCCCGCTGACATTCCCATCGCACCTCATTAGACGGCCCACGAATCCACCACCCGTGGTCCGAGCAACTCACATACCACACAATTGTCATCAGGGCGATGCGATTGCGTCAAGAGCCAACCTCCCTAGAACGGTAGTTTGAGTTGGGTGCGGGATGTGTGGATTGCAGGCGGGTCGGGGACATAATCAGCTGGGTTTTCATTGGGTGCGTTGGAGCTTGGGAATTTGAGGCTCTGCGGGGGGTGATGTGCCGAGGGAACCATGGTTTGGCGATGGATGGGTGGTCGGTTGACGTGTAGTCTGAGGTTTTGGGGAAAGCGCACGTGGGAAATACAGAGGCGCGGCATGTCACCACGGAGAGCCGCTCGGAGGCGAAGATTGGATCGCCGGCCCCGTGACAAAAGGTGGTAGCGAGGGCATTGAGTAGCCTGTGTTCGATCAGATGTAGCGAGAGAACTCCTGTAAGCCATGGGTGAGAGGCGGGCCGTATCCATTGTAGCCCTGACTAAGCCGCTTACGAGTCTACGTATCTTGTGCCGTTTTATCAGAGATTCTAAACTGCAGATCTCATGATAGTTAAAGGCGATGATACGACACAGTTTGCTAAAGCGGGCTTTGCGAGCATTCTTACGGCATAGTCCTTTCAGCGGTGGTGATGAGGATAGCAGATATTGGCATGCACACTATTGAAATGGGAAGAAATAGCATATGAGACAATTCTCGGTTAAGGACTTATGGTGCTACGGGAGTGATATCTATGCGCCTTGTCGAGGTTCTCGACGCTGCTCACTAGGCTGAGGAATTTGTATTGGACAGTATACTCTTAGCTAGCTCTTCAAACTCTAGTCTGAATTGAAGAGCAGTCAGCCATCGTTCAGGTATAGCCTCGATCCCATATCGAGCTCCTAAAAGGCCACCTGCAATTGCGCCGTTGGTGTCGGTGTCTCCTCCTATCCTCACTACGTCTACTAGAATATCTTCTAAAGAACGTGGATCCAGTAGCGCCGCGATAGCCACACTCAAGCTTTGAAGAACAAATCCGGAAGTACGGTCAGGCAGCTCGTCACCCGGTCCAACGCTCGCAATTCTCGATATTGACAATCCCATGCCACGTTCGATTGCGCTACCAACGGCGGGACAATCTAACTTTTGTGCCGCCTGGAGCCCAGCAGTCACTGCTGCTTGCACAGATGTACCATCAACGAGGGCAGCGACGATCTCATTATACGCGGCACAGGAAACGGTGCAGCGCGAATCAGTATGCGTGAAGGCACTAATCTCCATAGACTCCTTGATTCGATCCTCCCGAGAGCTACAAAAGAGGCCAGTTGGAATACACCGCATTAGACTCCCGTTTCCAGCGCTCCCTTGGCCAGCTCCACAGTTGCGTGGATCGCGCGATGAGGCATAACTGGAGAGGCCGGTGTACGTTGCACCTCCAATATCGACGGGATCTTCGCCCTTGCTACGTTCGGGCCAGTCTCCTTGAAACCACTTCAGGGACCAATTTGCCGCACACCGTGTAATGTCGAAATCTTTTGCCGTACCATTGTGCTTCTTGTAGTTTTCCCGGTCGTGGTACGCGAGTAGAACAGCGCGCGTCAAGTCGGTATCGTCTGTCGCGTAACCGGCTGGCCATCCAAAGGGTCCGCCTCCCACGATGTCTCGTAAGCCATTTGGATAGCGACTCTTTATTTTACTGAAAGTCATGAATTCGAGTGTTGCGCCGAGCGAATCACCAGCGTGGACTCCCAGGAGAGCGCCCAACGTTCTAGAGAGTCGAAGCTCCATTGCGGTGGACATGTTATGAAAGTGACAATGAAAAGAGTATGTATGTGCTGTGTCGGTGTTTCAAGGACGTACAAAGTGCGAGGGCATATGTCGTGTCTTGGAGGCCTGCCGTGCACAGCCACGCCCAGAAATGGGTGCCTAGCCTGGCGCCGCTAGTAGTATGTTGGCTAGTCTACCTGGCTGTTTGTCCAAAGCAATGTGCTGGAGAAAGTGAATTACGGTCCTAAGAAGCGATGTCGACGAAGGAGACAGGTCTATAGGTCGGAGAGGCTCACGTGAGACCGTATCAGCCTCCTCGGGGTATACGACAGTACGCTAATCTTCTCGGACTCCTCGCTTTCCCTAGTGCAAGATTTCCTTCTTTCATCAAATCGCCTCAGTCTTCTCCTGAGATCTACGTAACATCATTGCTATCTATGCTATAGTTCCTTCAATGTCAAATGATTATGTGTGAAAGCAAAACCATCGCCGGTCCCGTATCCTGATACAGATCTACCTCTCGCTTACATGCTGATTGGCGTCAGCCTCCGATATACGAGCTCAGCCTCCAGTCTATCATACCTCTTCCGCCAACCGTCCCCGCGTTCCAGCCCTACGTTGTATACGCTGGGTATTGCTGCTACAAGACTGAGCCGCGTACTGAAAGCTTGGTAAGCTTATTCCACTGCCTCATTCATCAATTCTATCGACGATCATCTGATTCCGCGCGAGTAGAATGTCGGTCAAGTACCATGTGACTAGAAGAATTGATCAAAATGCAGGAACTAGGTTAGATAGTCGCTGGATGCGAAATAGATTCGAGCTGCAATGTCTCGCCGGTCAATGTACCCGCATAGACTTGAGCTGCAGAGTCGGATGTCCAACCTCGTGTTCGCGGACTTTACTTAGGATATGTTGTAAGTATTGATCTGCTACTTCTTGTTGGAGACATGAATCTGTCAATCCCAATCGCATTCTTCGTCTTCTATCTTACACACTTTAGTGCTCGACATACGATATACTTGTTACAGAACCAGATAAACTTCTCGAGTGGAGATCGATGTACCAGGTCCACCATCCAGGAATGACATGATGTCTCTATAGCTACTCAGATCGGCCGAAACTACATACACTTACAAAGTCCGTCCTCCAAGCTATCGTCGATTGCCAGCGATGTCCAGCAAACACATTATAAGACGGAAAAGAAGTCTTGGAAGCAGTAAATGTATAAGTAGGACCGTTTTCACCCCTTTTAAATCATCACCACAACATCTTTTCTTTCACAGCAATTACAGCTGAACAATCGATACTAACTCGAGTCTTCGCCGACCATTTCCATCATTCTTCATGTATACTTCCACCATGATCTCCGCCTTCCTCACCACAGCCGCCATCGCTGCGCCCGTCGCAAACGTTGTCATCAATGCTCGCAATCCTGCTGAAGCTCAGGTCCAAGCTGCCCAAGTCCGGCTTGACGCATTGGTTGTGAAAGGATGCAATGTACTCGGTATGTACCAATCAAAGCATCAAACTGATTCTCTTATGACTTACTTCGCACAGGTTGCAGTAACGCCAATCTCAGCTACCTGTGCTGCCGCTCTTGCGGAAGGCGGAGCGAACCCGGTCGCTGATCTCGGGTGTTTTGCGGGTGTAGTGGCTACCATGTCTAGTCCTGTAGGTGTGATCAATATTTGATAGACCTCGTACTAATACTAGTGATAGCCTGCTGCTTGTGCGGGTTGTTAAATCTTAGGGTGTAGAAGCCAGCTTACTTTGGAAGTGGTCTCTTCAGATAGACTTTTTGGGAGGTATCACCACACTTTGGTCTCAACAAGGGTATAAGATATCACTCGCTTGATCTTTGTACATGCCGCAAACTATCACATTAACTTTCGATTGCCTTTCAATACCTCGGTACTGCCAGCTCTTCGACTGTCTTCTAGAACCCTATCAAGATTTCCAAGTTGCATCTTAGGCGTGTTTGTGAGATACAATTGCTTTGAGGATACATGTTATTGAAAATCCAAAATAGGGTTACGCTACAAGACCGTGATCGTTATCAAGTAACGTGACAAACCGACCAAGCCCACCTTTTGGCCCCGAACAATGACGCTCGTCATCACCACTTCTAGTTCCCACGAATATGAGCTGAGATCCATCTTAAAGAAAACGCGCTCCGCCTGCCTAGACGCTAGCCTCCGCTATACCTGCATTGACCGGAGGTCAGTGGCGCTTGCTCCTGCTGGATGCGCCCTCAAAGGGTACTTATATCTTGTTCTTATTATACACAATATACAATCTGAAGGTTTCTCACAATATCTGCAAACGTTCAATGAAGACACTTTTTTAATCGAAGCAACGAACGACCGAAACATCATTCTTTTTGCGACGGTGTCTTAAGATACTGGAATGTGTCTAGTATCTTGGTTGAAGCGTGCGGTTGCTTTGCAAATCGGCCTGTGGGAGGGGCGTTTCGAGATGAGGCGAGAAACACTTTCACATTTCATACAACAGTCTTAGCATACCTAACGCGGCCTTTTATAACGTGTGACCCTAATATGAATTAAGAGCGTCGCTGTGATATTTGTGATATGCAGTACGCAAGCAAAATGGCTTTCGAGTGGAGCCTGCTCGGTGAACCTTCGGATTGCAGAGTTTTCCACCTGCTGTCCCACACCCGGTTGGAAATCAACCCACAAGACTCCCACTTCAACTAAATGATGATCCAGTCAGGGTGCCAACTTTGCAAAAATGATTGTAGTAGTAGTATCTATTCAACAAACGCAAAATCCCCAAGATTAGTAATCCGATATGGTCTAGTGGCTAGGATTTGCCGCTCTCATTCAGAGTAGAACATCTTCATTGGTGCGCCGGCACGGCCCGGGTTCGATTCCCGGTGTCGGAACAACTTTTTCTTTTTGCTTCCTCGCATCTACCTACACTCAATCACTGTTATCCCTTTTCCTGATAGTCAGTGTAGAGATGTCTTAGTCTTCACTCTTTTGGCCGAGCAACCTGAATAGAGGCCCGGGGAAGGAGAGAGAAAGAGGGAGGAGAAATTGAATTGTCAGAGTTGATTGAACTGAGATAAAAACAACCGATTGCATCTTGACTATTCTACATCAATAAGCTGGCTCTTATGTACTGTTATTTTTCGACTACTTCAGTTGATACGATCGTCTCCAGGCAGCAAGCTCACAGTCTTCGTCACAGTTTGTGTCGAAGTAATTGCCGAAGTAAGCGTGACCGATGTTGTTTTAGTGATTCCAGCCGGACCCGATGTAATCAAGCACGAGCAAGCCGAAGAAAGCGACGAGATGCCCAAACCAACCGTAATATTAACCTGGCGCTTCCTGACGGGGAGCTCAACGGGGCAGCTGACATCGTAGAAGGTGTAGGGGGACATGGGGTTGTAATTCGTGTTGGAGGCACTAAGTTAAGTCAGTGGTGGCGATGGTAGGGCTGTGGGAGGCGACGTACGCATCGACGGTGAACAACATGCAATTAGCCTCTCCGTATCCGAAGCTCTTGCATTGCGAGTCTGCCTTGCATGCGGCGCTGCAAGCAGCAAAAGTGTTCTTGGTGCCGGAGCTGTCGAAGTAGTATGCAGCAGTGTCCTTAGTGTAGCCGACTATGCCGCAGCCTGCAGATCTACAGCCTGTCAGTCCCATATACCTTGATAAGTCTCTTATATTGTTACATACGGTGATGGTGAGGAAGTTGGAGACTGTACGGTAGTGGAAGGCTTGGAAGACGTTGTCGGCGGTCGCGTTGTTGATGATAGGGTTGACGAGGTGGTAGGTCCCCTTGTAGTCGTGGTGGGCTTTTCATATCAATATCATTGTGCTTAAGAGGAGTCATGGAAGCCTTACCCTACCTGGCCCGCTGCTCGACGTCGGCGGATACAAGGTTATGATGATGGTCGTCTTCACGGTAGTGGTGGTGCCTTGGGTGATAGTGGCAGTTTGTGTAGCAGTTCCGGATTTCAAAATGCTGCTGCACAATAAAAGTGCCTCAGAGGTATGTCCGACAAACGAGTCCAGGCCGCACTCAGATACTGGATTCCGTAAGCCACATATTCGGAAATCTTTGCGCGGCTGTCCTCCGCGGATAAATCAATCAAAGGAGGGGTATTCTCCACAACGATTATTATAAGGGATGGAAATCTTACCGTCCGGAATACCACCGTTTCCTCGTGTGCTCGTAGGTCGAGGACGCTGCCTTGCCTCAATCGCTGCTGCGTTAGCGCTAGCAGCAAGTGCTACACCGAGAAGAAGAGACGCCTTCATGTTTCCGTGCGGGAGTCCAGAAATTTCCAAAGGAGAAAGAATACCGCAAGGTCGATCGTACCTGAGAGGCAGCGAGGATCCGATGGGCAGATCTAAACTACTTATAAGCGCATGTGGGGAGCGACGCGCTCCAGGAATGAGCGGCAGGATCGGACAGATTTTTCGTGATGTAGCAGATTTCATTTGAGAATAAATGAGAAGTGTCCGTTCGAGCGCATTCGATACTTTGGTCGCGTCGTGACGGGCTAGACCGGTCGTAAGCTAATGCTCCAATCCTCTTCTAAAGGCGCGCATCGGTTGCTGGCTCTGTCCATTCTACTCGCATCGTGTCTGCATTAGAATTGGCGCCGAAAATGAAGCCGTCGACATCCTAACCAGGCAACGGCGCTCCGAAGCCGCGGGACGTGCAGATAGCCCAGAATAGCCGTGCGAGGCCCGCCAACGAAGATATGCTGCAGAGTATAGACAAGATATATCCAAAGTAAAAACAATTTAGGACACGGTAGGTGGTTGCAGATACCCTGGCTCCGAACCCGGCAAATCGCGTGTTCAGATGATATTAACCTGAACACCTAAAAATACTGAGCGACAGGCACGTCGGTTACAACATTACGCACAGGCGAAGAAACTCCTTGAACCGAGGATATACCTGACAAGAGGAGAGGTATGTCGCTAGTAGGGCAGATTGTGGTCTAGTTGCGTTCAGCAAGATACGGTGATGCCGAATATGTATATCCTAAACGGGCAATGCGTAGAGCAATGCGGTGCCTGTGCGTCAATACCGGGCATATAGGGCTTACGTCTGCACATGCTTCGGAACCCTTGGCGTAGCTTCCTATACTAGGTGTAACATGAGGGTTGACTCGCAGCGAACCTCTTTGAACGTTTGTGCGGAGATGCAACCATCGTATTCTAGTTACTCCTTTCTGATAACAAAATGAATCCGCCTCGTGTCATCCGTATGAAATCGAAAGTGGTCTCTAGAGAGCTTGTGAAGAGTAGCATTGACGGAGAATGACACTCCGAGATCATCGCCAACCGTCTGCCACAATTTCTGGAGACTGTCAGGATTATGGCGAAACATTTTACCGGTTGGATTGGTTTTATGATCGTGTGCTGCAGCATTCAAAGCACCAACTTGTCGACCAACGATCATGGAGCCCTTCTCAGGCCGGAGCAACTTTGCAACCGCCGTGGAAACCTTGACCTGATCATCATAATCGAACAAGTGAAAAAATGACCCGGTGTACACGATATCGAATGTGCCTCTGAGTTCTACGAGCGACGAGGATTCGTCAAAAATGTTCGCGGTAACGAATTGGCTGTGTAGCCGGTCGCGGTCTCGAAACAGCTGGTAACCCAGCTCAACGTACTCTTTACGAAGATCACACCCGTATATGCTCTCTGACGGCGCGCCATCTACTACCAGCTGCCTGATTTCTTGCCCAAAGCAGCAGGCCATATCCAATAGACGCTGCCCTTTAGCGAGGCGTTCCAATATTTCAGCATACTCCTCGGTGTTTTTCATGCTCAAATCCAGAAACCGAAACTGGCCAATGCAGGGATATGGAAAGATGCTCCATGCCTCATCGCGTACTTTTATAACGTGATCGATGACCTGTACGGCCGGGATGCCGCTGTACTTCTCGAGCAACTGGCGGGCATCTGACGATAGCTGAGAGTTGTCGAGTTGTTCACTGAACCAAGCTACGCTCCGGTCTCGCAGGTCGTGAGAGCTCATCGCCAGCGACGCAGAACACTGCTAGATGAATTGTTGAGTCGAACGAAGGCTGAGTTATCGTCGTGTCGACGTGATGAAGTTTGTAGCTATCAGATGTCGCTTCCACTTGGGTTCGCACGCCATAGGCATTACGTCATCGACACAACTAGAAGGCGGTTGGCGAGGTCTACCACGCATCGCAGCTCCAATGTTATGACGTTGAATAATTGCCTAGATTCATCGTGCACTCTAAATATTGTCGATTCGAAACAGAATACGCCTATGCTGGCCACTCGTTCGTTGCTGATAGTCGTGGCTGAGCTGTGGTACCCGCACTATTAAAGTTCCTGGAATCGTACGCATGCATTGTGTACACTGATATTTGTTAGCCGATTAGACAATACCTAGTGCCAACCGTGAGTGGCTCGAGAATATCTGCATGATTGTGTAAAAATTGTTTGCGATTATTCTTGATGGAGACTAATGATGGCCAAGCGGAGAATTCCTTGGTAATCATGTTGGTCGTCTCAACCTTTTTTTCCCATTCACGTTGCTCTCCGGATCATGCTGGCTGTCGTTCTGGCTCTCCACCCCATGGATATCCATTATCGTGCTCTTCGCTTCACTCATTGGTTTCATAACGGATGCATTCATCTCGCTTCTACTATTCGTCATCGCCGAGATCGTCCCGACAGGAACAATCGGTGCGAGGATGAGTGCCCTTACAGGATTCTATCGATTACAACTTTGACTAGTGCGTTTATAAGCAATACCTTGCCAAGGAAAATCCAAAGACAAAAGAACGATATTAAGGTAATAACTTCCTTAATAGGCTTACCACATATCCACATGATCGAATATGTATAACAGCTATGTGTATAGCGTAGCGACACTTATCGGCTTGTTGGTAATTTTTTACACGAGATCTATGCATGGTCGCAACTTACGAACGAATCGGTGAAGCGATGTCTTAAGCTGCCCACAAATTGTGGCGCTAGCCCCATCTAATCCCGTATTGCGTAGGACTTGTATCGAAACAATTTCGCTAAACAGTCTCATCGCTTGGAGAAGGCAAGATGAAATTTGCTTCTGTTTGCATTGTATCAATTCCAAGCTTTCAAACCATATTCTTACCATTTGATAACATCAAGATCAAAAGGTTTTTTACTGTCTTCGTTTGGAGGGCTCTGCCCAAGCTTGAGTGACACTACGACCCACTGCTACTATGTGTATTCTGTTCTTCTCTTTTCACAAGAGCTTGCTTGCCGACTCGCATTTACGGCACGAATCTTAAAAGCTACTACAAAGATTGCCAAGCCCAACGAGTAGCCCGTCTTTACGCCCCCACTCTGCCCGAGCTGAACGGCAACCATCGGCTGGCGCGCCGACGTCGGCTATCCTTCGTAGACTCACAATACTGTTCTTATCAACACCATAAATCTTTCCAAATTCTCAAAATATTCCCTGCAGCCATCAACCACCGCATCACAAATGGACACCACATCCACAATACCCCCGCCCCTCCCGAACCGCACTACCTCACATCTCCTCACACACCCTAAAACACAACAGGCTTACCTAATACAAATCTCTCGTCCCCTCAGCCTTCAAAAATCCATAGATCTCCGCAAGGCCCGCCTGCCCATCATCTACATCCTCGATGGGAACGCCTTCTTCCTCACCGCCTCAGATATCGCTTGGCGCCGCGAAGTAGCGCCCAGTTGGACCGGCGGTGGCATAATCATCTCCATTGGATACCCACATGATGCCACGGAGACTGGTTCACTGTATAATTTCGCAGGCCGCAATAAGGATTACACACCTTGTACGTCGGATGGGACGGTGGGTGAGGGGATAGGACCCGCAGGCTGGGCAATTGGCGGCGCGGATCTATTT